CTCCTCCCAACCCCAAGGTCAGTCCTGCTTTACAACAATGGCACCATGCAGTATTTGTCCTTTTGTGACTGAGATACTTCACTCAGCATAATGTCCTCCAGGGTCACCCATTTTGAATAATATTGCATGAGTTCTTTGTTTTTCAACACAACATAGCATTCTATTGTGTGAATATACCACAGCTTCTCTATCCATTCCTTTGTTGATGGGCACTTAGGTTGTTTCCAACTCCTTGCTATTGTGAACAAAGAAAGCTACAAGAAACATGGGTGTGCATATATCTGCTTTGGAGGTCAGTTATGGTCTCTTTGGGGTATATTCCCAGTAGTGGAATTGCTGGATAAAATGGTATTTCTATTTGCAACTTTTTGAGAAAGCGCCATACCGTCTTCCACAGTGGTTGCACCATTTTATACTCCCACCAAACTTTTTTCTTGCAAACCCAGAGTTCTTTCATCCCTACAAGGCAAAAAACTATGCTAATTTACTCTCATGCCCTCTAATCAGAGCCTTCACTATTACACATTTGCAAGAACATTTTGAATCTTATGTTATTATTAAAAAACAGTAGCAATTATACTTTGAATAATGAATAGATATAGACACATACTCATTTCAGTCACAAATGAGGTAGGCATTCAGGCCTAGTCTAAGCAATTCCCCAGATAAGGATATATTAAAAATGTTATGTGCTGTCAAGTCGACTGTGATTTGTAGCTACCCTATGAACACTAGTTCTGAAATTTAAGGTCTGGTGGCTTTTTGTTCTTGTTGAGTCAAGTTGCGTATGATTCAAAGCGACCCTAAACAAAAGAGCTGAACCCTGTCTTGTCCTGTGCCATCTTCACCATCTCCAGCGTACCCAAGCCCAGGATGGCACTCACTGGGTCAATCCATCTCATTGAGTGTCTTCTAGTCTTTCATTGACCCTCTACCTTTCCAAGCATATACCCCTTTCTAGGAAAAAGTCTCTCTTAGCTATGTACTCAAAGTATGTGTGGTGAAATTTTTCCATCTTTGCCTCTTAGGAGCATTTTGGCTGCACTTTTCCAGGACATATCTGCTTGGTTTTTTGCAGTGAATGGGATATGTAACATTTTTCACCAACACTCCAACTCAAAAATCATAAATTTTTCTTCTGTTATCCTTATTTATTGCCCAGTCCTCAGATGCATAGTAAGTGATTAAAAAGGCCATTTTCTGAGTTAGGCACACTTTAGTTTTCAAACTGACATCAATATTTCTCAGTAATTTGAGGAGATCCCTGACAGAGGACTTGCCCAAAGTAACACATCTAATCTCCTGATTGCTGGTAACAAAGATGTTGATTGTGTATTCAAGTAAGATGAAATCATTGAAAATTTCTTCTTATGTCTAGAATAAGCAGAGCTTTACATTTCTCTAGCAGGTCTAAGACTTGGTTCTGAGGACCGGTGTTAAAAATACCAACAATGCCTTATCCATGGTCATGTATCAACCAGTCACATAAGAAGAAAAGATTATTTTAGTAGCTATTCTAGAAGTGAGACAAAGATAGGCAATGTGCTGCAGGGACTTACTTGATGTATTTTTTTCCCCTAGCCATTGTCTTTGTTGCCTTCACAGGGTTGGGATATTGTTGTTATGTGCTGTTGAGTCACCTGAAACTCATAGCAACCCTATATACAACAGTTCTGACCTGCCCTATCCTAAGCCAGTCTCACTAACTATTACACACTACCCCCATTGCCCTAGTTACTGTGTCAATTAACCTCATCCGGGATCTTCCTCTCCTGTGCTGTCCCTCCACGCTTCTAAGAATAGTGTCCTTTTCCAAGGACTGGTCTGTCCTGGCCATGTGCCCAAAGCATGTGAGACAGAGCTTCAAAATCCTAGCCTCCAAAGAGAAACTTCATTTAACCCTCTATAAGATAGACTTATTTGTTTACTTGGCAGTCCATGGGTATGGTCAAGACTCTTCTCCAGCACCACAACTTAAAAGCATTGATATGCTTCTGTCATCCTTAATCATTATCTAGCTCTCTGATACATAGCAAGTAATTGTGAATATCATGGTCTGAATCAAGTGCACCTTAGTCTCTAGACTTACATTGATGCTCTGGAGAGGTTCCTGAATAAGATACGGAAGTAAGGTATTTAGGGATGACACTTGACCACGATTAAATTGATAAGCCTTAGAAGCAGAAACCAGGGATCTCACTATCATCAAGAAAAGAGCCAGAGACTGTTTGGACAAAGAGAAGGCACAGAGCAACAAAGATAGCAGCAGTGGTGATAGTGGTAGCAGCAGCAGCTGTAGCAGTAGAGATGACACGGAGACTGATGTGAGACCATCATGTGGGTTCCTTGTCCATGGAATAAGAAGTGATTGTCTTTGAGCTCAGACTTAGTAATGTGTGTGTGTATACCTGGGACAACACTGCCAGAGTAAAGTAGTTCTGTGACACCTGCCTGAGCAAAGAATGACACCCTGAAAAGAGGCTGTCTTAATTAAAACTATATTTTGAGTATTCCTCAACCTGTTATTTCTATAATAAACTCTACAGTTGTGAATGTTTTGTCTTTGTTTTTTTATGGGTTGGTTTTAGTTTTGGTTTTATTTTAATCCAGTGAAGTATTGAGAGCCATTGGAGGGATGATTGTTTTTTGAATTGTGAGAAGATATGGACGACATACCTGCCTCACAAGAATTGGCTTTGGGTTGCTGATGTCCTTCTCCAAGGACTGGTCCCTCCTGGCCATGTGTTCAAAGCATGTGAGACAGAGCTTTAAAATCCTGGCCTCCAAGGGGAAACTTGGTTTCATCCTCTCTAAGACAGACTTATTTGTTTACTTGGCAGTCCATGGGTTCAAGACTCTTCTCCAGCACCACAACCTAAAGGCATCGATTTTTTTTCTGTCATCCTTAGTCATTGTCCAGCTCCCCCCATTATGAAGGTAATAGAAATCAGATGCTGCAACCCACCAGGCTCATATTCCTGACAGTTCTCAAGGGAGACTGGAAGTTCAGTGTCCTTCTAAGAAGAGAAAGTGCTCTGATTCTCAAGAAGAATTGCTTCCTCCCTGTTATTTTCTTTCCTAGTATTCTCTCTTATAGTCTTGCTTCTTCATATCTTAAAAGCTTCCTCATAATGCCCTATTTAATAGTTAATACTGAAATTAACAAGATTTTTGATTTATAAATCTGAAATACAGTTGGTCCTCTTCTCACAATATACAAGTTATGATGATTGCTTTATTTTGTTTTGTTTTGTTTGAAGGTGGGTTTTTTTTGGAAGGTGCATCTTGTCAACAGTACTAAGTACAATGTTGCAGGGTATATTTGCTGAT